TAATGTACCACAATGTAAATAGTATTTGGACGATTTATACAGAGTTAAATAAGAGCAAATATTTTTCGGGGTAGTACATTTCGACCCCAGAAACACGATGAGGTTTTTTTCGCGAAAAAAAAATTGAAAATTCAGAATTTTAAAAAAAAATTGGATTTTCTTTTTAGTTTTTAGTTAAAAATATAATTTGTTGATAATATGGCAACATAGGAAGTAGATTAAATTTACAAGAAAGAAAATCCAGAGAAGATCGAGTGGTTCTCAAAATTTTAGCAAAACATTATTCTTTTAGGAAATTTTCAAAGTAAAATATCTCGGTTATTTTAGATTTATTTGAAAAACCGTAGAGAGAAAATATGTTTCCTTTATCGATATCTACCAGCCCTGAAAATATTTGCACTTATTTAAGACTCACCCTGTATATATATTTCTACATACTATATCTAGTCTTATATCTATAATTGTTTTATATTCGATAAGCGTTTTAAAGCTATTTTTAAAATCACTATTTTAGAGGTGGTAGGTACGCTAAATAATTAGAATTAAGAATTCTTTAGTTAGAGAAGATGATATATTATAGAATCCTTAGCAATTTTCTTTAGTATTTTTATTACTCAAAAAATGAATGTGACCCCTTTAACCCAACTCGATCTACTGTTAACCACAGACAAGACTTCATCAACAGACTGATGACATTCCCATACGAACCTCCCATACATATCTAATGACTGAAGTGTCTTCCAACAATAAAATATTGCCCTTCTTATTCATTCTAATAGCCACGGTATAGTATTTCCGAAGTCAATTGACAGTACTAGAACACTTAATTCGTTTGTCCAGACGATGCCCACAATCCAAATTAAGAGTCCTAATCTATTCCAACTGACTTAAAAACTATAAGAGAATAGAAAAAATAATATAAATATCCTCTAATCCAGAAGAAATAATTTAAAACTAAAAAAGTATAAGTCAAGATCGATTAATTGATCAGTTTAAACTATCAAAATATATGGACAACTTTTGAAATCCAATTATTATTTTTTCATCTTTAATCAAGATTGAGTATTAACCAGAGGGTGTTTATCCCTATGACATTTTAAGTCTATAGATAGAAAAAGAACGACTTTAGAGATGTTTATCGGTGATTTATAGGCTTCGTGTGTGTGTTCGTAGGACCGAACAATGAGTCAGTCACCTGGGAAAGTTTTTGTGTTGGACACAGACAGTCGAAATGCGGCGAAACCTGTAATTTCGTAATAGCGTCGTGACAAATTAGCGGTAAATGTTAATGATTGATGCAATAATTCCAGTTTAATTTCTTTATAAAAAGCTATTATTTATGAGCGATAAATAAATTTTCAGTTAACTATGTTATTACTTATTCAATATTTACTTATATTAATATTTATCATTCTGAAACTAGAGTGTTAGTATTTTACTTTGTCCCACTTTAAACAGGCTTTAACTTTTTGTTGTTTTTTGAGCTAGAACATTTATTAAAAAATCATGAAGTTTTTAGTCAAGTTTGAATAACCATGGACTGAGTTAGTCTGTGATATTAACATCAACCACACACACACACTATACTATCCTAGGAGGGCCAGTCCGTTCTAGTATAGTAAGTCAATGAATATTACCAAAGATTGAATACACTGTCGAATGTCACAATTATTGTTTATAAACTATATATTTTTTAGATTAGACTCTACCTATAGGTGTATATTACAAGTGTGATAGAACATTTTCAAATTTTCTTAAGAACATAGGCTTTAAGGAATTAATAAGCCATTTTAATTTAAATAGTAAATATTTTTAAGGAATTAATTCTTAAACATAATTACATCTTATAAAACTTTTGGCGTGCCATTCAGAACTGTTGACAGAACTATAGTTTACATTATTTTTTACTCAGAAAATCTATTTTGACTGCTCAAGTTGGCACTTTATTTTTGCTACTAACTTGGTTAATATAATAGAACTATCTAAAAAGTGGGCAGGAACTTACAGAACTCTTCTTCTAGAACATATTTCCTCCATGAGAATTGTTGCAGAATAGAGAAAGGGTGCTAGGTGAAGTTGATTGGTATTATATTATTGGTATGATATATATATTGATTGACAATGATATTATCTCCCCAAATTAACGAAAACTATTTTTCTAACTTCTCAAGAACTATAGCAAAATCTATACGGAACTCTCAATTTCAAGATAATTTCTTGAAAAAAAAGTGCCAATCTCACACGAGTAGCTAATTATCTATATCATCTTTTATTAATAATTTTTTCATTTATTAATAATACTAGGATAATATAGAAAATCTAGTTTTACTACGCGAGCTAATTATCTATATACACATTTAAATAAAACAAAGAAAATAAATTACTCCATATTAGCATACAATATTATTTATTAAAATTATTTCAAGGTTTACTGGTTTGTATGTCTAGAAATCAGGTAAGTATTGTATATTAAACTCAGTCATATTCAAATCTAGAATGCCAGTCTATCTAAAGAAGAAAACATTCGACCAATGTGTACTAACTACCAGTCATAACCTATGCATGCAAAACCTGAACGCTTAAAAACGACATTATAAGGAAACTGTAGGTCGCACAACGCTCAATGGAACGAAATATGTTGGGAATAACCAAGAAAGACTGTAAAAGAATAGAGTGGATACGACAAAAGATCCAGGTAATAGTCATCCACAGAGTCCAATCCCTCAAATAGCAATGGGCAGGACACCTGGCATGAAGAACGGACAACAGATGGACCACAAAAACTAAAGCATGGTACTCACGAGGAATTAAAAGACCTAGAAGAAGACCGAACCTGAGATGGGACCATGATATTAGGAAATTAGTAAGGATAACTTGGGCCCACATAGCCAAGAATAGACAACAATGGGCCTCACTACAAAGAGAGTATCTAAATATGTGAGGGAGGCTACATCATTATCAATGGAACTGGTCGAATAAACTGAAAATGATGATGATGATGATGATGATGATGATTGTATATTATGGTATCAACACAAGAATGCAAGTATATGAAAATCTAAGAATAATTCAAATCCTAAGTCTAAATTAAATTAAATTAAAAGTAATTAGGTTCAGATCGCTGACTGAAACTGTTTAGATAATATTCCAATTAGTTGAATTGCAAAAAGTAATTACTTAAAAGGCGAGTTCAAATAGCCAAATAAAATAAAACAAAATACGAAAGTTCCTTTATCCGGAATTTCGTAGTTTATAGCCGAAATAAAATAAGAGTTCGGAGTTCGTTATCTTTTAACGTCTTATTTTATTTTATGTGAAAACTGCTTCTGGCATATGCCTCTAATTTTAACCTAAAAATATTTTCTGTTTACTGTTATCTGACTGTACAATTTTATATACTAGAAATTTTTAATATATTGTGTTGGGTTTATAAGTACACTGCAATTAGTAAATTTACTATAAACCGAGCTATAAACAATCATTAAATCACAACTTTAATCCAATTTTAAAGTATTGCGCAAGTGCGAATGTATATTTCTATATCCTTTTATATTTTAATTATTTGGCTATTTGAAAGCTAACTGATGAAAATTCTTTATTCGTTGTTCTGTTTTATTCTTATTTTATTATATTTCGCTATTTGAAGTGTGCGAAGATGGGCGAAGACGTAGAAGATGTAGTTTAATGGATAGCATAATGTTAAAAATGAATTTACTGTAATTTTGATTGCCAAGATGTGTTTCGCAATATATTGACATCAATTTAAAGCCATTGTAGAAAATCAAGTACAAACAAGTGTAGAAAATGAAACTTCAAAATGGGGAATATTAAAAAAAAATCATACTTTAAAGGTAGGGTTGCCAACCGTCCGTTATTCCAGAGAACAATCTTCTTTTCGATCGTCCTGTATTCTTTTCGCTCACGTATTGAAAATGTCCTCTTTTTCACACACCAAATTCAAAATATAAAAAATATTTGTTTATCGCTAAATTCCTTAATAAAATTGTTAATTTGACAACATGTCATTTACTACTCCCACTTGTTCGTACAGAAAAGAAATATTTATGTACAAGAAATATTTGTGGAAGGTATGCATGTTTAACTTGTCTATGTTTAATTACTGGTAGCTTATGTTTTGAAATAAAAAGTTTTGAAGAAATCGTTTGTTTTATTTTAACAAGTTTTGAGTATAAATATTTTAAAGAAAGTAAGAAAGACCATCAACCGCACAACGTTTACGAGTACATATCTTTCGGGTAAATTCTTGACAACATTTGGAAGGGGTTTCAAAAAATGTTACGATTGTGGTGCTTTTTACCCCCTCGACCTCTATTTTTTATTTTGAAAGTTGGTAACCCTATTCAAAGGGCATTTAAGAAAGAATGTATTATTTACAACAGGAACTAGGGCCTGTCCAGTGAAAGAATATAGATACTCAGTTGCTGTTTGCCGTTTTAATTCAAAGATTTTTCTGTAACTGTTGAGATATCCTCTGTTGTCTATATATCATCTTTATCTATATTATCTTTTGTCTATAACTGTTGAGATATCTTCTATCCAAATCCCATATATTAAGCTGGAAAGATTATAAATGTCATAACATCCAACATAATATAATAATCCATTATTGATTTTATAGTAACAAATCGAGTAAAAATTATTAAATTGATATACATCCAAACACTACTTGGTTTGGTTCATTATTGAAATTATTAAATATTTCATAAATATTATCTGCTAATGAGGTTACCGCCTATTAAAATGTATGTCAATATTTTCAGCATAATCAAAATCTACCATCGATTTTAAAGTATTAAAATTCTGCGATGTAAGGAATAACTTGCTTGTAAAATGCTTACTATGAAATTACTGAATTGAATAATTTTAATTTTAAAATAATTAGTCTCGTAATTTATATAATATCATTTTGTTGAGAAACTTTCAATCAAGTTTATATAGTTAAATATAATATTCCTAAATAACTGTAACTCGTTAATTACCTTTTTGTTCGAGTCCAGTGATATTCGTCTACTTTGCACTTCAGAATCTGGAACTTTGGGCGGCAAAATAAAAATTTTTCGAGCCCGCTCAGCTTTAGTCATACTTGCCGATCTGCTTAACTTAATTTCGGTGTTATCACTCAATTTCACCACTTTAAAATCCTCGTTCTTCTCCACCAGTTTCGCACGAAAACTACCACCGCAAATAAATTTCTTCATTTTTAGTTTTGAAGTTTTCGACACTGATTCAAATCCGCGACACTATTTACTAATGGTGTGCCATTAAAGGATGTTTTTCCTAATAAACTGTTGATAGCGATAGAGACAAAATGTCGTCGAGATTATGTTCCATCATCCATCAAATCGGCGCGGGTAAATATAAAAAAGGATCGAAAAACAATCGCGACACAACAGTAACAGCTGGCACGACCAAGAAACGACTATGGAGAACTAAAATCTCTTGACCACGTTTCGAAGCGGCAGCGTCGTCAGGCCGTGGTGGTGTTGCGTTACCTTTTCCGCCGTTTAGTTGCACACCTTTACCTGTACTAACAGTGGCGTTGTTGCGGGGCGATAAAATCAGATTTACAGTAGGTAATAAAAGTTGAGTAAGGTCCGTTCGACTTTATGGACAGTAGAATTTTAAGAAAAACCCCAAAAAAATTACGGATTATCCAGCAAATTTGAAAATATTGAAATAAAATTATGGTGCTGTTTGATTCCGCGGAGGTATTTTGTCAAATGACACAAATATATGATGACATTACCCTATTGGTTGCCGCTATTTAACGCCAATTTTTATGTTGTTTTTTTATAAGTTTTTATATAGTACGTAAAAAAGGATTATCTACGGCAACCAATCCAAATCAAATCAAACCAAACTAACCTAATTTAATTCTGCAAAATCACAGCGTGTTTTGATTGCTAGAGCGGTGTTATAACAACTTCAACTATTATGAATAAATATTATATTTTTATCGAGTATATTTTGTAAAATTTGTTGAGCTACTGCGAAATTTATCTACTTGAAAACTACTAAAAAATAAAACTACTACTTTAAACCCTAGGTTTGGTTTGGTGCTTCTAAATGTCAGTCTTACGAGAATTAGGCATCATCATCATTCTCAGCTTATTCAGCCATTTACAATTATGGTATAGCCTCCCTCACATATTTATATACTCTCTTTGTAGTTGGGTCCATTGGTTGTCTATTATATTGTTGGTTGCGATGCAGGCTCAAGTTATCCCTGCTAATTTCCTCATATCATGGTCCCATCTCAGGTTCGGTTTTCTTCTAGTTCTCTTAATTCCTCGTGTGTACCATGCTGTGATTTTTGTGGTCCATCTGTTATAGGTTCTTCTTGACAGGCGTCCTGCCCATTGCCATTAATTTGAGGGATTTGATTCTGTGGATGACATGTATTACCTGGGTCTTTTGTCGTATCTACTCTATTCTTATAGGGTATTTCTTCATTATTCCCAGCATATTTCGTTCCATTGAGCGTTGTGCGGTCTGCAGTTTCCTTAAAAGTTTAGGTTTCGCATGCATAAGTCATGACTGGAAGTACACAATGGTCCAATGTTTTCTTCTTTAGATAGAGTGGATTCTAGATTTGAATATAATTGAGTTTCTTCCAAAAGTACTCCATGGTAACTTAACTCTTCGGTTGATTTCTGGTAGTAGAGATCCATGGCATGGATCCGAGCTGTGTATTAGTTGTCCTAAATATATTTATTCTTCTACTATTTCCAGTTCTCTATTGTTTATTAGAATGTCTTTTCTATCTACTAGTTCATTATACATTACATTAGTTTTAGCTAAATTAATTTTGAGATCTATATACTTTATTGCTGGCTGTATTTAGTTTGTTAATTTGTGTTTGTAGTTTTACAGGACTATTGGCTATTAAGATTATGTCATCAGCGAATCTTATATGCGAGGGGTGTCTCACTTGGGTAGAAAATGTACATGTACTGACAAAATATCATTCAATGACTGCCAAAAAAATGTACATGTAATTCCAATAGTGAGACACCCCTCGCTTATATGGTTAATATATCCTCCATCTATTTTTAATCCCTTGTTGGTCCCGTCTAGTTGATGGAAGATTTCTTCTAGTGTTGCTATAAATAGCTTAGGGGATATTGCGTTTCCCTGTCGTACTCCTTTGCCATTTGGGAACTCTGGGGTTGTTTTATATATCATTACTCTTGCTTTTGCTTCTTGTATATATTGAAGAGAGTTTCTATGTAAGGCCAGTCAATATCTTGATTCGCTAGGGCTTCTATTATTGCCTTAGGATATATCGAATCGAAAGTCTTCTCAAAGTCTATAAAGGCTATGGCTAGTGGAAGTTTGTATTCTTTTGTTCGGCTGATAGTTTCTCTTAGCGTATGTATGTGATCAATCGTGCTGAAGCCACTTCTAAAGCCTGCTTGTTCTCGTGGTTATGCAGCGTTTAGCGTGTTTTGTATTCTGTTGTTTAATATTTTTGTGAATATCTTTATGTTACGGATAGTAGTTTTATTGGTCTATAGTTTCTGATATCTTCTTTGCTGCCTTTCTTGTAAATTAGAATTATGTTGGCGCTATTCTAGTCTTGCGGTATATTTTATGTTTCCTCCTTAGACAGCTGGTGTATATATTTGCTAGGATTTTCCAAGTTCTCTTATCAGCATACTTAAGTATTTCAGCTGTTATTCCATCATTCCCTGCTGCTTTTCCATTTTCCATATCTTGAAGAGTCTTTTCTACTTCTCCCACGAGAACTTCTGAGGCGTCGCGCGTCGTCTTGTGGTAGGGACAGTCTTTCTTCTTGATGTAGGTTTTCTGGGGCTTTATAGGTCGCTGTAGAATTTTGTTACCAGGTTTATTATTTCGTTTTTGTTGTTATTCTGGTGTTGTTGTGTTAATGCGATTAACTGCTTCTTCATGAGGGATTTCCGAGCGTTCTTATAACTTTTTTGTTCGATACTTTAAATTTTATTTTATTTTGCCGTCATATTTTACCATTAAGACAAATGTTAAAAAATGGTACACTTATTTCATTCACTTAAGATATTTAGAATTTAGAATGAGTGGGAGGAGGGTTACTCACTGCGACCTTACATATCTATTGTGTCCCCTTTTCATGAGTTATAACTCATCATACAGTCCCAGGGCTTTGACAAAAGCCAGTATCTGGGACGGTTTTACAGAAGGTAGTTCTCCATCTCCAATATCAGTACCAAAGTTCATGGCACGAATGGCTGTCGTCTCGGCGCACTCAGTGATGAGGTGTTCTGGTCTTTCCCCATTTCCCCACAGAATCTGCATTCGCCGTTTCTTCTTAGTTTCAATCTACTGAGGTGTTCATTGAGGAGACAGGGTCCTGTTAAAAACCCCGTGACAATTCGAAGATTGTTCTTACTTAAACCAGGAGGATCGTTGATTTTTCTTGGTCGTAAGCCCTCAGAAACTTTTTCGAGTGTCTTAGACCGTTGCAAGTAGACCGTTAAGTAAGAACAATCTTCGGATTGTCACGGGGTTTATAACAGGACACTTTTTTGTTCGATACTTTAAATTTTATTTTATTTTATTTTACCGTCATATTTTATCATTAACACAAATTTTAAAAATGGTACCCTTATTTCATTCACTTAAAAGATTAAATTTTCTTTCATATTTCATTAGAGCACTAAAATGCGCATCAAGTCGCAGATCCAACAACAGAATCCGTTAGACAACATAAATTTTCTTTTTTATTGAATTTATCAGAAGTAAATCTTAACAGAAACACCACTGGCAACTCCATGCCCGCCTTGCATGTTAAAAAGAGACACAAACAATCCATTGCACAGTTTGGGTTGCAACAAAGACAACGAACATCAGTCCGCAAAACATTGGAAGAAGACGGAATGTCAAAAACAACGAGTGGCTATATTTATTACTTAGTATATAACCGGTAGGTTAATGGTTCAATTTGTGTGCGTTTACATCGACAGTGATTGGTAAATATGAATGTCCATAGATCGGTATTTATTGATTTATTCTTGGGAAAAAAATCGTTAAGTTCACATATACAGGGTGTCCCAGAAATAAGTGCAAGTATTTTAAGGGGTGGTAGATCTCGATAAAAAAAAAATATTTTCTCTTTATCGTTTTTCAAATAGGTCCAAAATAACGGAGTTATTTTACTTTAAAAATTAGCCATGAGTTCTGGCGTCTTCCTACTGATCTTTTCCCTTGCACTTTGCCCTCTATTATGAGGCGCAGTATTTCGTATCTACCACCTCTCATCACATGACCCAGGTATTGCATTTTTCTTTCCTTGATGGTGTTCAGTATCTCTTTTTGTTTCTGCATGCGCTGAAGTACTTCATTGTTGGTGAACTATACTACCAGTTAAAATACTTGCACTTATTTCTGAGACTGTATATAAAAAAGTTTAAATGAAAATTGGGATGAATAAATTATTGAATACGAACCAAGATTCATACGATTTTTTGACAATTTTTCTTCTTACAATAAAAATAAATGATGCATTGAAAAAATCATATTGATATGAATATCATAAACCAAGACCGAATCTAATAAATATAATTTCTAAAACTGAAAATTTATTATTCCTTAATTCTACAGTTTGGACTTTGGAGAAACAAAAATGTTTCGTAGAAGTTTTTTTTCCATTATTAATTTTTACAATAAAAATTGATTATTTTATTAAGAATTATTTTTGTTATATTCATTTTATTTGGCGTTATTATAAAGCAAAAATATTTTAAAAAATCAGTTTTTAAACTTGTTGATTATCGGCGATTGGAATTTGGCACCTTAACGATGTAAGGCGAATTCTGAATATCTTATTTCTTTAATACTCCCTAATATTTTGTTATTTGTGCTTTTTGGATATTTAAACAGTATACCGGGTGCGTCTCAAAAGTGGCTCGTGATCTTTTTTTAATTCCCCGGTTCTACATTACGGAGTATGTTATTAGCAATATAATATACTAATTCACCACAATACACCAAAACACTTACTGTTATCAGTGGACGAACAGCAGATGATTAAAACTAAACTAATCTCCACTAACTGAGCGTTTATATTCACTCGGTTGGTACCGACCCAGCGTGGCAATGTTAGCTAAGCAAGTCAAAACCAATCGAGCGTAATAATACCGAGACTAGAGCAATAAGAACAGAGAACTAGGAGGAATTGGACCATTATCTCTGTTCATATTATCTTTACATTTATTTATTTTGACGCTCTCATATTATGGCATCTAATTGCCTGTAATTTGAGACGCGTTAACATCTATACAATGAGCTTTACCAAAAAAAAAATTTGCTCTACCATATTATATCTGGACCATATGTTCTTTAACTACAGTTAATATTGAGTTAACCCGCCATATTTTTGATTACAATCTTTACAACAAATTTGCATTTTATTATTGGTTAAGTTAAGGTAGTAAAAAACGAAGTACAAAATATTGT